TCACGGCTGAAAGGGCGAGCATGTTTGGTGTAACGGGGATTCGAACCCGCGACCCTCAGATTGTGAGTCGAACGCCCTAACCATCTGGCCGTGCCGGGCCGTAGGAAAGTTAGTAGCAAGCATCGAGTCTATTACATAATTACAACGGACTTACAACGCTAGAAACCGGGTTTCGATACCCGTAGTGGGCAGAGTACAGCTAGCTCATTATGTAGTTTGTGCTTATTTACAAGCAACAAAAACATAATTACAAAAAATATCAGGTGAGAATTTGTTCTTTTCTTTGACAAACGATGCAAAGACATAAAAGATAACATGAAAACGTTTCATTAGTATTATACGATACGTCATTGTTTGAACCCATGCGAATGTAGTACTCACTATTTCGGACGAAAGTATCCATCGATGGGTCAGCGCTAAAATCCGCGGTTCGATTCCTCACAGTAGACGAAGTACAGATAGCCCATTGTGTAGCTTTGTGCTTATTTACAAACGACATCAATCGAACAAAAGTATAAAAGAGTTTTATTGTTTTTAATTCATGTATATATTTTAGCCCATTGTGTAGCTTTGCACTAAGAAACTACAACAATCGAACAAAATAGTTTTATTGTTAGTAATTCATGTATATTTTTAACATGAAAGTGATGGCAATTGAATCAATTTTAAACGAGGGAATATAATTTAAAATATATCGTTCTGGAATACAGCTTGATGCAAAATGTTACTGGCATCAAATAGTAAACTAAATATTTAGACCCTCGTAAGAGGTCTGACATGTCCAGGTGGTTAGAGCGCTCGACTCGCAACCTGAGGGGCGCTGGTTAGAATCCCCGTCACACCGAACATGCTCGTCCTATCGGTCGAGAGGCATTATAATGTGACGGTCAATCACACTCTTCTTTTGCTAAAGGAATAGCCCAAGTGTTGGCGGTGGATGGTGTTGACTAGCTGCCTTTCCTCTTATCTATCAGTTCTAAGTTAGGGACGGCTAGCGCATATTGCTCTCGTGTAGCGTTGCGCGAAATTCAAAACACCTCACAATTCCCCCGGAGGTTCAGCGTTAAATTTAAAGGCTTATAACGCTAAACGTCGGGGCTTCGATACCCACAATGAGCACCGCACAGATAATCCATTGTGTAGCTTGACAACAAACAAATAAAAAAGATCGTGATCCATTCATTTTCGACAATCTTCCTGAACGTTTGTATTCGCGCATCTGACAATGAAGGATCCAAAGTCGGCTTTCCTATTTTAGGGAACTAAAACTAATAAATTCTATCAGTTGTTTCCACAGAGCCGATATTTTGCAGTTTTAAGCATAAACAATGTAACGTCCAATACTCTGGACATAAGAGCTTACTAACGAAAATGTCAATTGTTCGCAGTTAAATCTTAAGAAGATTTGATTTCGTATTACTACTGGGTTTGTTCCTTGACGTGTGAAGTACCACAGGTAGCCTATTCGACAACGGTAACTTCAAAGTAGATCTTATTTACTGTAATGTAAAGTAGATTTTGTACTGGGAAACCACAACATCAAAAGCCCTACGTATTAATAAACAAAACAAAGACATTTGTAAGGGTAAAGTCATTAGCTACTGTGTTTTATGGATTTTTCCGCCAGCCTTTGTTTAATGTTGAGGCCACGTTTCGAATTCTGTGTTACGTTCCCTATGATAAACATCTCACAATCCATAAGATCAACGTGTCAAATACGCTGCCAAGTTCATCTTGAATTACGAAATTGCTTCTGCTTTAAAAGTATTTCTGCTGGAAATCCTTTCGGGTAGAAATTGTTCGATTGTTTCATCTCGTCATGCCCTCCCCCCAGTATCACAGCGGTATTTCTGCGGACTTACAACGCTAGAAACCGGGTTTTAATACCCGTGGTGGGCAAAGCACAGATAGCATTTGTGTAGCTTTGTGCATAATTACAAACAAACAAACATCTCGTCATATGTTAGGCATAATAAAAAGGTTTCTGGTTTCGGAACGTGGGGGAGGGAGGTGAACTCAGAAATACAGTAATAACCCAGGCTAAAGATCCCACTTCGTCGCTTGTTACAACTAGTTTTGACAATCTGAGAGAGTTATAACAATAACAACAACACTATCTGTATTGTGTCCATAAGGATGATAACATTCGTTCCATCAAATTGTGCACTAATGTCTTTCCTAGCTATATAATGTTTGTTTATATTAGTCTCCTACGGAAATGATCCGTATTTCTGTATGAAATGGGTTTCGACGGAAATGAGAATCTTACCTCGTGATACGCTCTTATAACTGGATAAGATAAAATCATATTTTATATTAAACATCCAACGTTAAGCATAAAAAAAAAACTTTTACACTGTGCCTCTATATGACAAAATTGTATTGCCCGTGTTTTTTTTGTCACAGTTCATAACCAACGAGTAAAATATTAATACCTGTTTCTTTCTCAATAATAATACACTAAAGCCTGAGAGGTCTTCGTAATTGACGTACGTTCAGCTCGCAAGGGTCTTAGTTTTCTGTTACATTTCTTTAAAAAGTTGCAAGGTGATCCATTTGTATCGATTAGATTAAGTAAATTATTAGTCCAATCATATAATTTCTGATTACTTTTTGATTGTTTGATTGTTTGTTTGTAATTAAGTAAATTATTAGTCCAATCATATAATTTCTGATTACTTTTTGATTTTTTGTTTGTTTGTAATTAAGTAAATTATTAGTCCAATCATATTAGTTCTGATTACTTTTTGATTGTTTGTTTGGTAATTAAGTAAATTATTAGTCCAATCATATAATTTCTGATTACTTTTTGATTGTTTGTTTGTTAATTAAGTAAATTATTAGTCCAATCATATAATTTCTGATTACTTTTTTGATTGTTTGTTTGTTTGTAATTAAGCACAAAGCTACACAATGGGCTATCTGTGCTCTGGCCATCACGGGTATCGAAACCCGGATTCTAGCGTTGTAAGTACGCAGACATATCGCTGTAGCACTGGAGGGTTTTTTTTTTTATTACATATCAAAAATCAAGTTGTGATGGATCATCAAGCACATTGGCTATTTCAATTCCTAGTGAACTGTCTCCCAGTGGCACATCGGTATGTTTGCGGACTCACAACGCTAGAATCCGAGTTTCGATACCCGTGGTGGGCAGAACACAGATAGATCATTGTGTAGCTTTATGCTCAACTTCAAACAAACAAACAAAACCTGGTAAAATTACTAAACATACCAATATTACATGTTTTGTAATTTGAGCAGCTAAGCCTAACGAATCACATACGCCGAAACGTACATAATAAAAAGTATTTGTCATAGACGTGTGTTTTAGCAATATATCTCTCTTGCAACATTTTTCTTCGTCTTTTAGTCATTCTCTACAGTGTGTTTTTTTCAATTCCTGGCAAGCACAGTCTACGTTGACACGATAATGTTTCTTTTGAATTTCGCACAAGGCTACACGAGGACTATCTGCGCTAGCCGTCCATAATTTAGCAGTGGGGCTACTCTTGGACTACTCTTTTACCAACGAATAGTGGGACTGACCGTAGCATTATAACGCCCCCATGGCGAGCATGTTTGATGTGACGGTGATTCGAACCCGCGACACTCAGATTGCGAGTTGAGCGCCCTAACCATCTGCCCGCGCCGGACCAGACACGATAGACTTGGAAAACCATTTTGAACAAACAACACATATCGTACAGGCTGTCAGCTAATGATTTTCACTGAATTTACTGAAACTTGTTTCTACTCATGATTGTTGGGCCTTGTGCATGCAAGGCAGCGAATCGAATGGCCCAAAACTCGACGTCATGTTGCTGAATATTCTTGGTAACGTCAAGACATGACAGTCAGACTCGTGATTCTGTTCAAAGAGTTAGACAGAGCCCTTGTGGCGGCGTGTGCTACTGTTCCGTAGTTTAAAATTATTAACGGCTGTACCTGAATCCTAGGGGTTTCTGATTAGGTCATAGAGGTTTAAAATGCCTCTTTTCATTATTGTTAAATTTGAACCTTGGCTCTTTTCATTATTTTAACTCTGAGCCTTGCCTCTTTTCATTATTTTAACTCTGAGCCTTGCCTCTTTTCATTACTGTATCTCTGAACCTGCATCTTTTCATTATTTTAACTCTGAACCTTGCCTCTTTTCATTATTTTAACTCTGAACCTTGCATCTTTTCATTATTGTCAACTTTGAAACTTTCCTTTTTTCATGATTGTCAACTTTACTTAACTCTCTGTTGTCCTGGTTATTAAGGAGTTTCAGTCGGGTATTTAGAAAACATTTTGCATAGGAAGATAAATAACAAAGAAAGTGTTGCAGGATTTTATCTTGTGTCTCTTTATTCTTTGTTAATCGAACCAAATTCAATTAAATATAAGAGAAAAGACAAATCACGTCTCTTATCGTTCTGCAATCTTTCTAAACATACAAAGTGAATATACTTAATGACTTTTTTAACTTAGTAATTAGATATTTTCATAAATATTGTGTTGTAACACAAGATCCTTAAGTTGAGACGGATATATATATATACATACGGATATATATATATATATATACATACATACGGATATATATATATATACATACATACGGATATATATATATATATACATACATACGGATATATATATACATACGGATATATATATATATACATTGTGTTCTCTAAAGCAAGTCATAACCAGCCAAAAGAGCAACAATGAAATTCAATTTGGGCTTTAAAAAAAAATGTCCTTTCATATTCCGAAGTTATAATCAACCTATTTGCTATTTTCAATTCTTATAAGTAAGGTTGTTTTTTTTTAATGTAACAAAAAAATCTTTGTCTTTGAACATTTACATTTGCTTTCTACAGCAAAAAATGGCGCTCTTTCATTTCTATTGTTCAGTTTAAGTCTGTTTAGTAACCTAAGTGATTCACTCACAGTGCCACCCCGCTGGAAAACAGAACCCAGTGACACAAGGATCGTGAAGGGAGGGAGTTCCATCATAAACTGTCGAGCTGAAGGATTTCCACTACCCAGAGTAACCTGGCTTAAAGCAGCTGGTAAAATACCTCAATTTTCAGGATCTTCATTACAACGGTTCAAATTCATAACTTTTTTTTATTACATTTATTGTATTCAACATAATTTCTATTAACGGCTTCTATTGAGTAGCTTTACACTGTTTTTTTTTATTATTATTTCAGCACGTGTCTTTCATTCTCTTGGAATGTTAATTATATTAATGTGATTGTTATATTTATTAAAGTATTTTCTGTTTCCGCCACGTTGATTAAAACGTTTGTAAGAACAATTGAAACAAAAAAAAAAAAGAAAAATCACGTAATCATCACGAAAATGTAAATTTTATTCTTTCCTGATGATAATCTGTCATGAGTTATTGTTCAAGTTCCACTGCTTTCTTGCATATCAAAGAAAATGGGATAATATCTTCCGAAAGAGATTGAAATCATTCTGCCTCATAAATTGACAGATAAATATTAGTTATAGTTTTATTTTTAAAAAATTAATGGTTTACAACATTATAAGACGTAATTACTTACGTCCTTAATTTATTGTGTATTTTTTATAATTATTCCCGATGTTTTCCATATAATTCTTAACTTAGAACGATTATATATTATTCTATATAACGAAAACGCAACTTGAAGTTTAACAAGTACGAGAAACGCAAAATTGATTTTTGTGTTCACGATAAATAACTAGCGAGGTTTAAAGTTATTAATTGTGTATGTATATTCCCCAAACCAGTCGTATACTTGCAACAAATAAAGCTCAGTATTTAATATTTATAAACAATAAAAACTCTCATCAAAATATTACCGAATATTTTCTTTTAATCACTTCTTCAGACAATGACTAGTAAGCCTTGTTTTTTTTATACTTAAAGGTCATTTATAGTGATGGAAAAGCAGGGAAATAATATGCATTAGAAAATAAAGATTAGGGTTACTCAAGTAGTCATGAATAGTAGTTTGTTTACCCTTATTGTGCAATATACTGGCATCTACTTTCAAGTTTAGGTTGGAGAATAATGACACTGGAGACCAAACAGTTTTTCTCGTGTTCCCAAGAACGCTATAACTGGAAACCATGTTTTTCAGTTATGTGTTTTTCTACTCACTTCAATGCTCATCAAGGCAACGTATTATCCTTTATAATTCATTTTTTCCGAGTCGAAAGCAATGAAACATAATATTAACGGGCCACTTAGATAACGCTAGAAAATTTTAAGCGCAATTTACGATGTTAATGGGATACTACGGCTGTTCGATGAACTGAATTTTCAAAATGCTTGTCTTAAAAAGCCGTTATTTTCTGTATATCTCTCTGTAGGGGATTCTCCCGGCAATTACCAGCCAGTAGCCAGCACTTCTCGTCTTCATGTCGTAGAAAATGGCTCCTTAGTGGTTCTGGATGCTCGAAAAGAAGATGGTGGATATTATTTGTGCCAGGCCTCAAATGGAATAGGAAGTGATCTTAGTAAAGTAATCCATCTCTCCGTACATGGTATGTATGTATTCACATGGACTTTGAAATAACACTTTGTGGAGTTCTTTGATTAGAAAATTCGGGATGTGTACGTATATCAATGGTTTTAGTCTGAGGCTCCCTTGATGTGAATAAAAAAGTTTGAAGCCCTCCAAACCTATAATTTTAGCATGGTAATTGAAAAAGAGTAAAAACAATAACATCTCCTTTCAACATGCTGTATCATTTAATTAATTCAACATAATTTTAATCGGCTTATTGTTTATTTAGAATTAAAATTAACTTAGCATCTTTGTTTTTCGGCCCATTTTTTGGCGGCCCCCCAGAAAAAGCTTCACGGCCCCCACGAGGGCCGCTTCTCCCTCTTTGGGAAACACTGGTGTATATAACTTTTTGATAGTAAAATAATAATGCGACCGAATCATAAAATATATGTATGCAACATGTTTTTGTGCATATACATTCAGTACAACGTATATACATATATATGCATATATATATATATATATATAACTGTTACCTTTGATATTTATATTCATTTTGTGTAACATCAATTATTTATAATGATCTACATTATGATAACATTAAAAGGTTCTAATAGACAAGTTCAGTGATCAAAGCATATTTTATCCTTTTCTTGGTGAGTGTGACTCAGTATTTAATGTGCAAGTTTGCGGATCGGAAGTTCCCAGGTTCGAGCCGTGATATGCCGCTGAACATGCTCTACATCCTCAGCTGTGAAAATGTTGTTGACAGGCAATGCCACTATTTGGTTATGAGTAGCTGGGTAGGCGGTAGGTGTTGATTAGTTGCTCACTCAACAGATATATTTGGTATAGATATGCATGAACCAGGAGGTTTCTGTCCTGGCATAGGATTCCTTTCTAATTAAAAAAACGACAAAATAACTAATATTTTCCTTTTCAATGTGCCTATGGCCATGGCAGTCAAAATATGGGGATGAATAGGTTTTATGATCCAAATAATTATCGAAGGAAGCAAAATTAAAGCATAAAACTTTTGTTACAACACCAAGAATACGATGCCTTTTTTTTTTTTTTTTTTTTTT